GGATGACAGAGCATTAGTCCTGTTACTCCGCAACTTGGATGATACATAATTTTCGTCTGATTAGTGGCATAATAATCCGCTTATATATCGTTAATTACGTGTAAAAACGATATGTTGATGCATCAGCAATGATATTACGAAAACCTCCAACTGTGGAAGCCAACATGATGAACACTCCGATGAATATGCAAACCTGTAAACACACAGAGTCCTAATAATAAACTTTTTTGTAGCATGATGTATCAATTTGCGATATCGACAATAAGGAATATTAGATATCTTTGGCTTACCCAGTTGACCAGCCATTGAATGCTGTATCTCTTTGGTTTCTTAATTCTCAGCCACATTATACAAGGAAGCTGTTGAAAAAATGCTCACTTAGTTAATTCCTTTCTGATGATGTAGTTCTGTAATTTGTGCAAGAACAAATTAAGAAATCAAATAGAGTGAGATGGGCTTACAAAGTATGAAGTGGGGGCAAAACCAAATCCACCAAAGAAACCAAGAAGGTCTCCAAAGAAAGGGAAGGTGACTCCAACAAATAATGTAAATGCTGCAACATTAAATATATATATATAGTTTGTTTCTTGGGAAAATCAGTGAGAAAATGCGATGAATTTTTTATTAAATATATATAGTGATTAGGAACTTAATTAGGTTTTAATCAAGCAGAAATGACAGAGATACGGAGACGTATGGGAAATGGGAATCTCACCAACATAAGCTGATCTCGTGATTAGTCTAAGTGCAATTCCAGGTGGGAAGTTCACCTTTTTCACCATCATCCTCTCAAGCATGTCAAAAACAGGCATAGCATAAACCTGCACACTTTTTAGTCACATCCTTAATTTAGTGTAGTTCTAATATTAATGAGAAACATTCAAAGAATCAAAGCATAGATTAAAGGGAGTTTTAACGAAATATTCATAGTGCTGCTCACTTTTAACGAAAATGACATTTTTACTCTAAAAAGTTTTGGAAGCCATCTCCTGTCAACTGTTAAAGTCGAAGTCACTAATGGTTGGATCAGTTCCAATTATTTATTTTCAAAATTTAAAGTGTGTTTTTACGATAGAATACACTTCTAATCATTAACATTTATATTAGAAGTGCTTTTGCTATAAATTTAAAAAAACATTATATGATTCCAAGTGTTTCCAAAACTTTTATAAGATATATTTGAAAGTACTTTCTAGAAAAACACTCAAAAACGCTTTTAAATCTGCCTAACGTAATCAAAAGTTTTTTTAGTTGTTAGGAACCACTTCTAGTTGTCAGAAGTGCTTTTGTTACTGAGTGCAGATTTATACCTGGTAGCTGCCAATGACATGGACGACAACCATTAGGTTAGCAGCAGCAATGAGCCATGCAGGTTTTTTAAGATCTATGAGCACGTTATCATCGACATCTTGACCAAAAGCCCAGTACCCGATGAGGGCCACCGGGAAATAGCAAATTGCGTTGATAAAGTAGGCTCCTAGAGCACCTTTCCACATGGGAATTCTCGACGGCTTCTCGGGCGTCGATGGAATTGTGGCCTGGATTTCAAGCACCACTGCATGCCCAGCAAATGCAAACGAGATTTGACCTAATGCATTGAAAACCCTAAACATGTAATCTGCAGGGCTTGTTTTCTTGTATGCATAGCTCACGTTTTCAACCCGACCTTTGTTTAAGCAACCTGCCCACGCTATAGTTGAATAACTGCAAATTAACAGCAACTTCAAGTTTAAGAAAAATTATATATTATTTGCCTTCTAAAGTTCTCTTGTTAGGTTTACGAGTAAATCTTCCGTAGGGTTGTCCTACTATTAGAAGACACTAAAACAATAACATAAAATATTGTGCAACGTACCAGTGTATTATTTATTTAGTAACCTTCTAGTTTTACCTTTAATTTAAAAGTTCGTAAGGAGTTGTCACTTAGTATACTACAGTTTAGTGGTGTTCCTCTTCATTTGAAAGTGAAAGGTCTTAAGCTTGATTTTCACCGAAAACAAATTCAAACCAAATCAGTATGGCTAACATAGGCTTAACCCACTCCCACCCAATAGTAGTATGTATTAAAAAAATGGTATACGTACTTCTCTAATTTATGCACATTTCTCTAATTGATGCTGTTGAACAAAACTAGACCACACTTGACTCGGAGAAATTTTTTAATGTGACCGAAATATGGGATGGTACATCACGTGTCACTATACAAATAGTGGAATATGTGTGTTAAAAATTTTTAAAAATTAAACTTTCTACCACTTATATAATAACACGTAGTGTACCTCGTGTTTCCGTCACAAAGAAAAATTTCTCCTTAACTTGAGTTTGTGTGAAGTTAAAAAGGAATTAATTTCTGCACTCCCCCTTTCTTTTTCCTTTTTTCTTTTTTTATTTTTTTAATTTTTTATGTGGCGTTTAACAGATTTTGTTTGGCCTAAAGCAAGTCTTCTAAATCAGATTTTCCTTCTCATGGAAAGTGAAAACTTAAGAGTGAAAATTAAAATTACTACCTTAGCGACATGATAGCTGCTGCTAGAGAAACACCAGCAACAGAGTTGAAATTGGGGAGCTGGGAAAGAAAGAAATGAAGGGAACCAAAGATGACAATCCAGTACGATTGCTTGACTGGTGTGCAATTGGCACATGCCATCTCCACAAACTTCTTTAGACACTTTCCTCCGGTGACCATGTACACTATGTCACAACCAACCTGCACAATCATTTGTTGCGGAAGCACAATCCATGGCCCGAACTTTGGTCCGAAGGCGTGTCGGCCAAGGTCGATATATCGGTCAAACCGAGTTCCCGGAACACATTCATGGAGCTGAATCATCTGCCACATTGTGTTCAAGGTCATGCACCATGATATTACCAGCACCATTGTACCTGGACCCCTGAAAATTAAAGGTAGAAAAAAGTAGGGTTTATTAGTATATTAATACAAGTACAACTGGTATATATATATATTATTATCATGAGTTAGGGTGTTTTGTACCATCCTAAGTAGGCCATGGCGTAAGGCAGGCTGAGTACACCGGCACCGATCATGGCGGTGACTGTGTGAAAGGTGGAGTACCACCATTTTGCACGGCGGGCGTTGTCCACCGGCTCCTCCTTCCATTTGTCGTCTGAAACAACTTCCTGCCATAGTTTCAACCATGGACGTGAACAAACAAACAGAAAAATCAGAGTGGAATTTGGAAAACGTCGTGTGAATAAAGAGTGGTGATGCTCACCTCTTGAGGAGGGGAAGTTTTAACCATTTTTTTTTCTCTTCTTTTGCGATGAAGACTGGGAAACACTTTCAATTTGGGAGTTGATTGATCGTCATCATGCTGTATGTATATAGTGGTTTCCTGGCCCGGAATATAGGCAGAAATATGGGATATGTACATTCCTCAGCCCCACTCATGTATTTATTTTTAGCTTTTTTTTTTACACAGGGACTTGTGCTTTTCCAGTTGAGCAAAAGTGAATCATACAGGAAAACAAATAATTTAATAAATTAAGTTGATATAACAAACCCCCTTGCATGTACTTGGCAAACGATGTTAAAGTTTTAAACCCTCCGCTTAAAATTATCTAAAGTCACGCAAGCTAATATTGCAAACAAGGTTTTACGAGACTTCACATTTGTCATACTAGCAATTATACACATTTATGGTGGCTAAAACTTTTTGGTGACGACCATCAAAATATTTTTCGTTGCTAAAGAGGTTTTTTATATTTTTAGCGATTGCTTAGGAGTTTATTTTGTTTAGGAGAAAAACATGGAAGAAAAAAATGAGAGCAACTGATATGATTATCTGGTTATGAATATTTGAAAAAAAAAATAGTAAAATTATTTTGCATTTAATTTTACTATATTGTCAGTAACTTTTATGTTGGTTATTTTTCTTTATTTTGTTGGTAGAGCTAATTTGGTCTTTTCAATCTCTTTTGGTTCACAAAGAAAGTTTTGTTAATAGATAATTTAGATTATGTGGTAGGAGAGAGGTCTTGATTGGACTTTCTTATTAAGTTAGTTTCTTATATTGATGAGACCAGTATGATATCAGATCATGAGGCCTAATACAACATTATATGTCAGATGACTCTAAAGATAACGTGCTCAGTAATGCGTGAGCTTATATATGAAATATATGTTTCTTAAAATGGGCACAAACAAATTTTTCTCCAAAATTACTCAAGATAACTTGGACTGTGATTTGATGATATACTCCACCCACTTTGATGCTATATACAAGGGAATCCAAGGACCCCATTTTGACAGGCATCATTTCATTAAGCTCCCATGTCAATTTTTCTTTACACAAAAAGTTCTTATGTGCAATTATTTATATCTTATCCCAAGTATTGAACCAATGATTAAAGAGCTTAGTTGGTGGTGAATGGAGCCACCTTAAATTGAATGCATTGGGATTATAAAGAGGGAATAGTTTGAGGGGTTAATGATTAAAGGGCAAGTGAAGGAATGCTCTTCGTGTATGGGAGTTGTTGGTGCGACTCTTTTTTCTTTCTTCTTTCGAGTGTCCCCAATGGCTTTGCTATTTGCATCCCCAAAAGCCAATGGTGATTGACTGCTACCCACTTCTTACCACAAAATTAAAGCGTAACAAGTATTATATCTTGTTTAATTAATCTTACGCTAAATCAACATCATGTTTATATCATACAACACTCGTAGGTTTTATGATGGCTTTCGTAGAAATGTTTTATGATGATTTTTGTAGAAATTTATAAAACCGATTAAAAACTGCGAGTTAGACACCCATTAAACCCGTAACGTCCTCCAGATAGCAAACAAACGAGGGGAGTTTATAACAGATGTTGCAAAGACTCGTTATAGTAGTGACATAGGGAAATATGAGTCCACAGATTGACTACCTCCAGACCTTCTGCGCGTTAGTTAGGCTCGTTTTCTAAGTAAAAAGCGAAACAAAAATCTTAAACGCTCGAGGGGTACTCAAAGACTAGATGAAACTCCAAGCAGAATCCTCATCTTGAACAAAACCAGCACTTAATTCATAAGCATATTTAACAGTAAGGCATCCATTAGAAGAAGAACCCAAATGCAGGGATCACTTATCAGGCATAATCCCTTTAACATCAGTAGAGTTACTAATAGTCCGCCGTACGACATCGGCATGAAGAACATGCAAAAGCATCACAAATTTCTATCCAACGCAGGTCAAGTAACTAGCCACAGTTTCATAATTTTCATCTAAAAAGATAGGCCTCTGAAACTGATAAATAAAAGTCCGATCATTAGGGATTACACTGGCTGATAGTAAAGTTATTTATATGCGAGTCCCCGAGTGTTTATAACAAGTTGAAGCTCTTATTTAACCCATAAAGCTCCCTCCAGGCATATTAGGCCCTTGTGACGAAACCTGTCCCTGTGAGACTAATTGTGACCGGCCTTGAACATAACCTTGAGTCATCCCTGTCCCAACCAACTGTTGTTGTTGATGCTGTTGCTGCAATTGCTGAAGCTGCGGCAGTTGCTGTTGTGATTGAAGTTGTGAGAGCTGCTGCTGCGAGAGTTGCTGCTGTTGTTGAATCTGAGGGTGCTGCTGTTGAATCTGTGGATGTTGTTGTTGAATCTGAGGATGCTGTTGTTGCTGACCGGGTACTTGCATTTGTTGCTGCTGTTGCTGACCGGGTACTTGCATTTGTTGCTGTTGTTGCTGACCGGGTACTTGCATTTGTTGCTGCTGTTGCTGACCGGGAACTTGCATGTGTTGTTGCTGACCGCCTACTTGAATTTGTTGCTGTTGTAGCTGTTGCATTTGTTGCTGCTGTTGCTGACCGCCTACTTGTGGCTTAAACACAACCATATCCTGAACCGATGGTAGATTTAGCTTTAACAAAAACCAGGTTGTAAGAAGGTTACAATGCCGAGCCACAAACTCATTTTGGAGTACCACCACAGGCCTCCATTTCAGAAAGAAGTTAAAACAGAAGTTGCAGGATATGCAGGGAACCTTCAGAACTAAAAGCACCTTACACAGGCTAGAAAGGTCCTTGACGATCCCCACAAAATTTTCGCAAAATACAAGGTCCATTTTGCAGGTTTCTTTTAGTACTGACGGTACCTCACATATTTGTTGTGGATTTACGAGCTCAGAGTTGGTGGCTATGAATACTTTATATTCGCAAAAACCAATATCACTGAATTACAATCCGCGGTAATAAGAATGGTCTAAGTAATAACAAGCTCACCCCTGGAAACAGCATTCCAATCAAGCGGCATGCTTTGTCTGAAACAGAGAGCAGTAGTGTCTGAGAGGGCAATTGGATCACTGCACACTGAAAAAGTGGGAAATCAGCTTTTTGAGAAGAAAAAAACATACAAGAATAGTCCTCGGTTTCATGATTACATTCAAAGGAAAACTATTGCAGGTGGTCAAATAAAATAGAAGAACTAGCTTTTGATGCTGAAGTCTCACATGGATGATACCACAATCAAGAATTACCCCACTTCAAGCCAAGAGAGCCAATTAAATGCATAAATTTAGTTATCACAGCATTTAGAGGTTATTGAGTTTAAACAGATACTTAACTAAGTTCATATCAGAATGTCACACAGAATCTAAGGAAGTACTCCGCCAGATCAGAATTTACAGATAATCAAGTGGTAATCCAAGATGCTTAGATTAATATATATAAGAGAAGACGATAATTAGGCAAGTGGGTAACGACTTTTGAGGGATAAAGTGGAAGTGGCAAGAAATTGGATAGCAAATTAGCAATGAGTACAATTTTTGAGTCTCGAGGAAAAAGTGGTAAGGTGAGATAAAGAGAGTAGACAGCTTACAAGTTTCTTCTCTTGCAATTGCCCAAGAAACCCATGCTGATTCATTGCCCGAAAAACTAAAAAGTCTGCCTTTCCAACATATTGCCTGAATTATAAATATTGATGAGGTCAAGAAAACTGAGGAATATAACGTCAGGAGGAAAATATTACACAGAAAAATAAAGGAGAGAATGTTTTCACTAAATTGTAATTACTTGTTATTCATGTGGTCCTGAGATATGAGCCTCACTATTTGCATTGTTGGTGGCCAGTTTGCTGCAAGCCTGAGGAGTGAAACAATGCATGTCAATAAATATACGCCAATGACACATTTTACCATAGTCATGAGATTAAGATTTTATTGTGCACTAAAGCACCAACCAATTAAGCCCAACTAAAGAGTTCTGATCAAAATACATTCAACATCACGCCAATATTCTTACAGCACGTCAAGCCATTAGGATTCTAAGAATGAAGGTAACTAAATTTTTATTTTAACCAAAGAAAAAGAAGTCTGCTTTGATAAGGTAGAAATATTAATAGTCATAGACCTCTTTTTCTACATAAAAGAATTAAAGTTAAAATAGAAACTTTAAACCATTGATTACATTCCATTAACATCTATTTGAAACAAAAAGAAGAAAGAGTACACTCCCGACTTACGTCTCAGAAGCTGAAGCACTCCTGTAACCCTGACAAAATTAGAAAGCAATTGTGGAGTTAACAAACAATTAACTGCTAAAATTGTAAAAGATAACTAAGAGAAATATAAATAATCCCATGTGGTTAGGCCCTAAACATGCTTCATGCTGTGGTTTAATTCAGGACGCTCAGACCCTTATGGTTATCAAATTGTCTATAAAAATAGATGTCATTGATGGCACACTTGAAATAACTATTTATCGATTGTTCAGTGTTTTCGGCAATTTTTGTTCTCTCTCCTCCTCCGACAAATATATTAAAACTGAAACCAAATGCATAATACTTTTGAATTCAAATCACTCTGAAGAACAATCACAAGGAAACATAGAGAACTTTTTTCAGAAAAATTTAAGTTCAACATAAATAACTATGGTTATCCATGACAGCACAATGGCTTGATTCAATGGCAATTTGGAATTTCCCTTCTCTTGTGATAGTTTATCAGTGGTGTTTTGGGTGAAGAGTAGTTTGTGGAAATCAAAGAAATGATGGTCAGACGGTTTCACAATCCAATTTATACGGAAACATACTGAAAATCCTCATGTGCCAGAGTCACAGACATGCTCCACTTTTCTCTCAAAAATAATGATTTTGTGCAATGCAAGAAACCACAGACGTAAGAGTATCACAAAATAAACCACAGATTCCATGTCATCCAACGAGGTAACTGAGAACGAACCTCCAATCTAGTGATAAACACAGGCTGCCCTTGTCTCTGCCCAGATAAATTTCCCTGCATGTATTTTCATCATTCAAGTATAAGTGATTGCGGAATACCACAGTAAAACAGAGCCAACCATCTTTAAAACTTTCCTGACATTCTAGCTTAAAAAAGTTACCACCAGAAGTTTAAAAATCCAACCGTATTTTTTTAAAAGACCTACCTCCCAGACTTTCACATATTTGGATTGTGCAGATGCCAGAGCACTTGATGTCTGTTGTGAAAACGGCACATTAGATGCTGAATTATTGTTTGCACCAAGTGACTGCATCCAGATTGCACCTGTTGAGCCATTCCTGGAGTAGGAATCATTGTACCAGTTCCAGAAGAGGCACCTGTTGAACCAAGGGCACTCATCATGTTTGGGTTCATGCCAATTCCACTTTGAACCATTTGCTGTCCCGAGAGATTTCCTTGGCTCATACCAGGCACAGCTTGACCCATACTAACACCACCTTGGAGGTTACTCATTGGTTGTGACATCCCAAGGTTATTGTTGCCAGAGACATTAGAGGTACCTGAAGTGAATGAATTAAGACCTGGGTTCTGCGCAACCTGTGTAAGAGTGCCGGACCCTGATGATGAAAATACATTTTGAGCAGCACCAACTGAAGATGCCATTCCACTAGATATCATGTTTGATACATGCATGGCCATAGGATTTTGACCCATAGTTGGGAGTCCCATAGAAGTTCCTCCAGTTAAGGCTGCTGCGTTCATCACGCGTGCTTGAGAGATGTTATTGAGGATGCTACCGACAGGACGCGAGGGATGTGTCACACCACTCACTACAGGTTTCAAATCTGGCACATTATCATTATTTGTGGCCATCTCTTGAGAAGCAGAAGATGGTGACGAAGTCTGCAAGCTTGGGACTCCTTGGGAGGGAGGACGGACAGATGGGATGTGTGCAAAAGAAGGTCCCATGGAACTTACGGTACTTGGCTCCTAAACAAATCATATCAAAACTTTATGACTATACATGTGCAATTTAAAGCAGTATACCAGACCAAAAAGAACATCTCTTTCCTTTGCACAAAGCATAAAAGTTCAAGAGTGCACAAGAAATCTTACAACTTTTACAGTAGCAGGAGGCACATTTCCAACAGAAATTGGTTGCCGATTCATAACAGGTCCATTCACTAATTTGAAAAAGAGGAAAGAAAAAGAAAGGATAAGTCTGCAAACAAGCAGGATAAGCAAGAATTAACCATGAAAAAAATATGAACAGCCTAGCCATAACAAACTTAAGTAATTAATTCAAACAAGACAGCCTATTATACTAAGATTTGTAATTCATTTAACCTTACTATGTTCATTTGAGAGGTATGACAGAGACAATTACTCTTATAAAAGATAAAATAGAAATTGCGACTACACCTTATTGATACTGAAACATTGATAATTTCAACAAAAAAAAGTCAAATAGATAAGTGAAACTGAATCATTAAGTACTTTCATTAACAGAAGAAAAAAATGAACCAAATATTTTGCACTGGAAAAGGGGACAGCATATTGACTGCAAACCTGAGGGCATAGAAGTTGGAGGCGGCCCAGTAACTGAAGCAACAGGAGCTATGTCCATTTTTACAGGACTCTGATTTGAGGGCAAAGTTGTAATTCCTGGACGACTTAAAGTAGCACGGGCCTCCATAAAATTCTCCGAGATTAAAACAATAAAGTGGGGATTTTTCGCATTATCAATTGGTGGATCTGCCGCTCTAGGGTTGCGCTTTCCCTGCATTGGCAAAGTGGTCACTATCACACCAATTTCTTCTAGTGATCTTAAGCCATAGGAAATAAAATATTCAGTCTGGCAATAATACCGTCACCTCCCCTTTGTATTGTCGAACATTCTTTGCAGCTTTATTAATATAATTAGACAGTGGTTCCATGCATATGAATACCAGAAAAAAAAACTATATTTTTTGTTCATGATAGTCTAAGTGGTTGATTTTAGAATTCAACAACATAAAGGGTTAAAGCTCAACAAAGCACCAAGGAAAATAAAGGAAGTTACTTTTAATGTTGATTTAGCAAGGTATACAAAAAGTCAAAAGCTTAATATATACATACATATATATATAAAACATTTAAGGATAAGAGATAAGAGATGGAACATACTGCATTGTATATTGCTCTGAGCTTAGGTAGCTGTTTTGGACAAATGACTGACAGCGAAACAGAGCTCTGGATGAAAAAGTAAGGGCTCATTACTGATGACTTTCAACCCTCATGAGGAAAGGAACAGACACCGTTAAACTAGGAATATACAAAAAAAGTACCTGTGGAAATGATTTAGCAACAGCCTCAGCATCATAAAGACGATTTTCTGTTTGTGCATCAATATTTTCATTTTGCTCCAAATTTTGAATTTGTGGCCGATACACTGGTGTGGGCAGAGGGTGAGGGTTACTCGCAGCAATAAGAACACAATGCTTCTGAAAATCCACATTTTGTTGATTTTGGCTTCCATTTTGAACTGTAGGGAACATCTGTGTTTTTCATCAGAAGAATTGTAAATGTTAAGTTTAAAATGTGACTAAGAAATGCATTTGAACTCAAAAGTACTTGGACGGCTTTGAACAGCATACCATTAAAGCTTCCGAAAGCCCTTCCGCAATTGCAGCATCACTAAACCCACCCCCAGAAAAGGGTATAGCTGAAAGCCAATGTAAGAAGAGATCCACATCCCTTGTCCAGCCACTCCGTTGTACCAGGCAACCTTGATGAAAGGTTGTACAATTATTACAAAATATTCATATATATATTGAGCAAATGCCAGTTACAGTAACGACATGGAATGCCTGCATATCATCTTGGTGAATTGGGTTCATAAGAAACAAGGTGTGATACTAGTTAAGTGGTAATTTACCAGAAAAAAAAAAAAAAAAAAAAAAAAACTTCCATTTCCAGCCATAAGTTGTCCAACTGAGGGGAAATGGAAACATATAACTTAATGTAGCTCACTGTATTTCCACATAAAGTTCACAAAAGTAGACAAGGGACTGAACTCAAACAAGTTTTTCAGACTTCCAGGTGGTGTTATGTACAAAGAGCCACTACGTTACAATAAAGTCTACTAATTTTAGAATTTAACTTAAAGCTAGTAAAAATCCACCACTTCAAAGGGAATAATTCCACAAAGCATGTTAAAATCACTAAGAGATAATTTGCAAACCTTGAACAACATCCAGCTTAACTTTCAAACAATTATTTGACTTAGTAGAAGATTGAACCCTGTTTACAAAGAACTATTTGACTTAGTGTAAGATTGAATCCTGTTAGTAGGAGGATGGAAGACTAGCAAGTCTTACCCTACAAAAAGTAAAATTCCTGAAGAATTTATAGTCAACCTCGTACTGCAATAATAAATTAACAACACAAGTCATACATCGGAAAACTAGGAATAAGAAGAACAAAATTACATACCACAATAAGATCCATGAGTATTGAATGTGACCAGGGAGAGCTCAACAGTAGAAGTCGAGAGCTTCTGCATCTCAAAAGCCAAATTACATAATAAGAAAAAGACTACCAAGCTAGAAGTCTTACAGAGGGAACTAATAATGCTGTTGCCAGTGAAATGTAAGAATGGTTGTCTGTGGTTTGATAAATAGTTGATGTAGGTACACAAATGGTACTCAAATTATTACATGCATGCTATTAACATCTAGTCAAAGAAGGCACAACCATGTACACGAAAACATGTTTAAATATGTAATGAACAATTAACAGTTCGGACAAATTACTTCTGATAGATAATGATAAACCTAAAGTAATGGAAAAGGGACAAACCTGCCCACTTTGCTCGTTTCCACAGAAACTCCTACAGGAAAAAGATAAATCAGAAGTGACTTATTTATAGAGCAGTGCATAAAATCCCATGCATGTTAATGAAAAATCAATGACAAACTTCATATTTGGTTCTATGTACAGGAATGTATTTGACGAAGATTGTTAAATTCCAAGTATGAACCTTCACTGAAGTTGTTATACCTAGGCACTTATTAACTTTTAGAATTCTCAAGGACAGCCATATAAATTTTTCATGTGCAATGAAATGAAACTGTAAATGGGAAATCATGATAAACCTCAACTTTTATACTATACTTTAGGGAATTGTTCTATAAATGCGCACTCCTAATAAAATTAATTAAACCCCAGGAGAAATATATGATTCAACAGGACAAATTCATAAGAACTTACCTTGTAACCTACATCATAAGTAGAAACCACAAAGTAACGTGTGAAATCAAAGCTGGTCATAGATAAGGAGGGAGAAAGAACAGAAGCTACGACACAGCACAAAGGAAGAAAGATAGAAAAATTACTAAGAACTTAAACGCGGACCTTACGATCTTCTCTAAATAATCTTTAAAAATGAGTTCCCAGAAGGGACCCATGGCTGCAGTCCCTTCAACAGCGATGATCAGTTGTTTCTCAGCCATTAGGGTTTTCTCTGTGATAGAATTGGGGATCCTCTTTTAAAGATCACATTGACGACCTCGGGCATATCTATTAGTCTCATTGACAAGCACGTATGTACGTTTTTCTCTAGTTATTGACACGTCTGCACAAAACTCTGTAAAGTAAAAACTAACTATCCACCATCGACTACGTAACCTATACGTTACTGATTATAGTATTACAATAACAAAAATAATATTAAGAATTTAAATAATTAATAATAATGTATAAAAATACACTTCAGACATCGTAGTATAGAGAATGCTCACTCCAATAAGCTGGAGCATGATACCCTGCTTCAAGATGTCTAAGGAGTTATCCACTCTCTCCTTTGCTTGAATACCGGAGGAAAACCAATTATTCAATGTCAAACCCAAAACGTAAAAATGACAGATTTAGCCCTATAAGTACTGTATTTGTTCCTAAAGCAGAAGGTTCTGTAATAAGTTAATAGCAAACACGGGATAATAACTAAAAGTTACCTCATTAAAATCGCTTGTATTGTGTGCATAATTTGGAAGGAAGTTAATCTTGATACATGGAATGTATCTATCTGACCAATTATAGGACTTATTTTCCATCACATGCCAACAAGCAACAAATCAACGCATGGAGATCATCACCGCGGATAGCTTCTAACAAAACTGATGAGAACTAACTAATTATTTATAAATCAATCCAAATCCAGTTTCCATCAGGATTATATGAAATAAAACTTTGCACATAGTAGAAATATAGCAAGGCTGCCTACGATTTCACGGTTCGAGGGTACAGAAAAATCGGACATTTCTACAACTCACTGAACTAGTTTTATCAGATTCTTTCGTAGCTGACGCAAGATTCAAAATTGAACCAAAACAGTATAGTTTTTCCAGTTAACAAACACTCCACATAACCAATTTCAAAGTTAAAAGTGAAATTGCAATCAAATTTCGATTCCGAGCCACCAAACGCAGCCCAAACAAGCTAATTAATAACATATACGAGCCACAGAAAATTCTCGTCCAATAACAAACACCGAAACCCTAAAATCACAATGCAAAAAAAATCTAAAAAATAAACAACAAAAGGATAAATTCAGCCAAGAAACTCCCTACCTGATGATCTTATCAAGGTAATCGGAGACGACGGTTGCCCAGTAGGGCCCCATGGCGGCGGTGCCTTCAACGGCCACGATCAGCTGCTTCTCCGCCATCGTACGGCTCGAAATAACCGTAGAGAAATCTCAACTGCTTCTGCTGGCTGTGCGGCGGAAATGTGTGAAAGTCCAAAGCTTGGAAGCGGTGGTAAGTGCACGAAACGCAACGTTCTGGATGACGAAGACGATTATTTTAAATGGGAGTCAATACCCCGCTGCTACTGCTGCTGCCGCGACTAGTTTGGGGGTTCTTCCGGTGGCGCAAAATTAAAGGCCGAGCCCACCGCCTTTTTTTAGTTTTTCTAGTTGGAAAGGTGGTAAAACCCCAATAAACAGTCAATATTAATAGGGTAACCCCTGAACTATTTTGAATTGACCGATTTGCACCCTACCTTTAAGATTTTGAATTTCGGTCCACTTTTTTTTTTTCTTGTTGATGTCTTTTTAATTTCTAAAACAAAAGCAAATGAATGAGTGAAAATTTTTAATTTAGATTTTGATATAATCATGGATTGCAACACACTTATTTGGGTTGGTTGTGTCATTTTTGCTTGATCTTTCTTTTATTTCCTTTTATTTTGAATCAATAAGAGTAGAAAAATCAAGCATTGTGCTCAAAAGAATAATATCAAAAAGATCTCAAGAATGACAAAGAGAAATTTCTACTATACTGGGAAAGTATCAGGAAAAGAAAGTAATTTTTAGCTATGATGAAAAAATCTCAAGAGTATGAGAGGATCTAAATTTTTATTTGATAAAAAACTAAAATTTGATATTCTATTCTAAACTGATCTGGATTACGATATGAATATTTAAACTAAAAAGTATATTCGCTTCGGCCAATGCAACTACCTACTGGTCTAAAAAAAGAAGTAATTTTGGTTTCGTTCTTTTGGGTAATGCAAAGACCCAAAATTAGAACCATAATACAAAAAAATGCATTTATTCCCGAAATTAGAAAAAAAAAATTAGTAATTATTAATCAAATTTCTTGTTCATGTGGGTGAACCCGTGGCAAGTGGCAGCATAAAATCCATTTGAGTTTGAGGAATTTAATTAAATTAATAATAAAGTAATCAACTTTGCACTTCAATCGCTCTCCAAATTCGCGGGAACACCATGGCAGCCGCCGCTCAGGGCTGCTCTCTTCTCTGCTCCTGCCGCAGCAGACCATGCACAACCAGAACAACCCTATCCCCTTTCGCTCCCTATCCCTTTCTCTCTCCTCTCACCCCCATTCGCGCAAGCTCCAAACAATTGAAGCTTTCGAATTCCAGGTTCTCTTTCTCCTCTCTCTCTCTCTATACAGGGTTTCTAGGTGAATTTGAGAAATGAATTGTCAATTAATTACATATTTACAGGACTGGTAGGGTTGTTTCTGCTGTGGTTTCAGAGGAAAACGCAATTCAATCAAGTTTCTCTGGCACCGATGGGTTCAAGCTCACTTATTTGGAGGTGGGTTGTCAATTTTCTTATTGGTACTTCTTAAATTTGATTACTTTTAGGGAATTTTTATTTACGTATGTAAATAAATCTTTGCTTTTAGGGGAATAGTTGGTTGTGGGATGTGGGTGGGGTGAAAATACTGGTGGATCCAATCTTGGTGGGTAACTTGGATTTTGGAATCCCCTGGCTTTATGATGCTGCCAAGAAGTTTTTGAAGAATTTCCAGGTACTCCTTTAGTTTCGAATTCAATTTTTTGAAGCGAATTTGCCTTCGATTTTCCTTTTTAATTACGCATATGTTGCCATTATTTTGTAGAATGTTGTGAAGTTGATAGGCCTGTTTTGATTGGGTTTGCAACTTTAGTGCAGTTAAGTGATATTCCAGAAGTTGATTGCTTGCTTATTACACAAAGTCTTGATGATCACTGCCATTTGAAGACATTAAAGCCGCTCTCCAAAAAGTACCCGAATCTTAGAGTAATAGCTACACCAAATGCTAAGGCCTTGTTGGATTCCCTTTTCAGCAATGTGAGTTTGAAACTAGTGTTTTGTTTTAGGCTGCAGCTTGTTGAATGTTAATTTTGTTTTTCTTTTTAATATATGCTGTTTATTCACGTGACGCATGAACAATCTTTACAGTCACCACCAAAGAAACAACGATGCACTTTAAGCAATGCCTTGTTTCTTAAAAACTAGTGTAGTTTTTATAATTGAGGTATATAATCCGGCTGTGGTGTTGGGTTTATTGTGCATCTGTTCCCTCTTAATTTTTGGTTAATACATGTGCTGCTAAGATGGTGGACATTACTACACAAATTCCATTCCAAAATTATACCTTTCGCAACAACTGAAGTTACTGAACCTAACTGTCATCGCTTCAACTTGGCTCAATTGTTCCTGAAACTTGCAATGCTGGCATGCAAGATGATCCCAAAGCTGTAGATGAAGTCGCATTCTGTGTTTCGATTTGAGATTAACACGAATTTTGTTTAGGTCACATATCTAGAGCCTGGCCAGAGCTCCATTATTGAAGCAGGAAATGGTTCTACAGTCAAAGTTCAGGCCACAGCAGGGCCAGTTCTAGGTCCTCCTTGGCAGCGCCCTGAAAATGGGTAAGGTTTCATTTTTCTTATTGCGATTGTAACACAAGTAAACTCCATTGGCAAGGAATGAAATAAAAAGGAATGAAGTTAATGGAAAATTCTTCTTGATTGATTGAATTAACAATTACAACAGAGAAAGAATATGCTAATTACAATGAAGTCCCTAACCATCTTTACTAATTACAATTACAAGTGTAAACACACTACTTAATGACTGAACTTAAATTGTTGACTGTATTGGATGGCTTGGCTTGTAGATTTTCCTTTTATGAAACAGTTCCTTGTAATATGTTCTTTAGTATTTGGTTAAACGGATATTAACGAGATGCTATAATATGTGGACCAGATATCTTGTCATTTATCCAGAAGGGAAATCTACACTTTACTATGAACCCCATTGTGTATACAATACAAGTTCACTTGAGAAGGAAAGAGCTGACATTATTATCACACCGGTCATAAAGCAGCTTCTGCCTAAATTTACCTTGGTCTCTGGACAAGAAGATGCAGTTCGACTTACAAAGCTGCTGAATGCCAAGTACAGATTCTTTATACCTTAATACTAACATATACATAAAGGTGGTTTTACCAGACACATATCAACGTCTTTGTTTTACATTTTGTAGGTTCATTGTCCCGATGACAAATGGGGACTTGGATGCCAAAGGGCTTCTCGCTAGTTTAGTTTCGGCTGAAGGAACAATCGAATCATTCAAGGTTGTTTTCTTCTTCGCACGGTTTTTTCTATGGTGAAGTATTAAAATTTCTTGCTGCAATATTATCACAATTGAAGTTGTGGTTATTAAATGCAGGATCTTTTGTCCAAGGAATTACCAGATGCACAGGTACTTCAGCCTACTCCTGGTGTACCGCTAGAAATCCCGCTACCTCCAAATCTTCCGTAATATGTTTTCTGCGGATATACAGACACTGTAGCTCACCGAAAATATGTACACATCTCATCAAACTCGTAATTTGTAAATGTCAGTTTATTTTATTGATACCATCGGTTCCCTCTGAGTTACATATGAGAAGCTAGCAAAATTCAATTGCGGAATAGTTATTGGGACATTGGAGGCACAAATATTTGTAAGGCCCACTTAGCTAGTAGTAGAGCGATGCCACTTAATAAAATTAAAAATTTTAGACTGTTTGATCTCCTGAATGTTGGAGATCAAACGGCTTGGACTGCACCAAGTGGCTTAGCCCAAAAAAAATAAATTGTGGTTGACGTCAGCCATGTCAGTAGGCGGAAGGTCGAGCATTTCTTGCACAGACATTGAGTTGAACTTTAGCTTGGTCTACCACTTGTCCTCTGATTTTTGGGTCGTTGGAGGCCCTTTTTGAGATTAAAAGGCAATTCAAAGCCCTTGTTATGACATCCCACATCGTCCAGGGGAGTGATCCTTATATGTATATTCATTGCCCAGGAGGAGTGATCCTTATATGTATATTCTCATCCCTACCTAGCACAAGGCCTTTTGGGAGCTCACTGGCTTCGGGTTTCATGGGAACTCCGAAGTTAAGCAAGTAGCGCGCGAGAGCACTCCCAGGATGGGTGACCCACTAGGAAGTTCTCGTGTGAGTTCCCAAAAACAAAACCATGAGGGCTGTGGTCAGGGTTTAAAGCGGACAATATCGTGCTACAGTGGTGGAGCGGGCCCGAGAAGTGATCCGCCCTAGGCTGGGATGTGACAATTTGGTATCAGAGCCTAACCCTGGTCGCGTGTGTGCCGACAAGGACGTCGGGCCCCTAAGGAGGGTGGATTGTGACATCCCACATCGCCCAAGGGAATGATCCTTATATGTATATTCTCATCCCTACCTAGCACGAGACCTTTTGGGAGCTCACTGACTTCGAGTTCCATGGGAATTCCGAAGTTAAGCGAGTAGCACGCGAGAGCACTCCTAGGATGGGTGACCCACTAGGAAGTTCTTATGTGAGTTCCCAGAAACAAAACCGTGAGAGCGTGGTCAGGGCCCAAAACGGATAATATCGTGCTACGGTGATAGAGCGGGGCCAGAAAGTAATCCGCCCCAGGCCGGGATGTGACACTTGCCCTTCGACAATGGGTGAAATTGCTCTAAACACAACCCAAACATAAAAATAAGTAAATCCGATCATAACCCATTGCCACCTCCAAAAGAAGTCACGAGCTCGAGCCGCCGTCTTCTTTGATGAAAATGACATAGATTGTTGAATTTCAGTAGTAAATTACACAACGTAGATGCCGCCGTGTGACGCGCTTGAAACCTCTTTGTCAAATTCCATAACTCAGACCCAGTTTCCATGAATTTTACACTTCTATAAATAATAGTTTATTTGGACTAAATTTCCTATAAATGTTCAAACTATAGTGATCCGCCAGTAAGCAGGTGGTCATCTACCTAATCGACATATCAGCACAGATGAGCGTATGCAAACCTAATCTGTTTGTTTTCTATTTGTAGTTTGCTCTTGTTTATTCACCTAATTAATTTAATTACCAAATAGATTGGCCGGTTTTGTTGGTCGCTTTTCACTTTTCCTTTTCATCTTTGTTTCCCCATTTTTTTTTAAAGCTTTGAAAACCCCATGGAACTAAGACAGCAACTGCAATATTCGATCTTTTGAGCCAAAAAATTATCAAGAAATAATACACAGAGAATGCATTTGGACGAGTTGGCGTCCTTCATCACGAGAGACTGAGTGCATTTGGACGAGTTGGCGTCCTTGATCGGGAGAGACTGAATGCATTTGGACGAGTTGGCGTCCTTGATCGGGAGAGACTGAGTCGTTCTATGAAATTGACTTAAGCTATACATATATGTGTATACACACACACACACACATGTATATGTATATATATAAAGTAAAAGTGGCAACATTGGTTCGTCAACAATGACAAGGGATCCCTAATTAAACCCATCTCGTATTATTATGCAAATTAATCACGCATTGATCGATCGAAGGGCCAATTATATTTAAGCTTTTAGGCTTATTAGTAGTTGCTTGCTGTATTTGTTGTATATATAATTAAGTTTTCGTAAATGCATTTGGTCTTGTTTGTGTCCACAAGGGGACTACAATATATATATGAACATCTCAATCGCGGCAAGTCGATGATTCCAATCGTAGCTACTACCTAAGTTAGATCCACATTTTTACAAGACCTACAAGTTCACATATAATATCTGCATCATATAAATAAATTAAAAAACGTTAACATACAGTCGTTTATACGTGTGAGTGAGTATCAACCGTTGATACATTGTGAGTTCGACTCTGATTATGAATCACACCCACGCGCATGGGCGAGGCCCCAAGCATTTGTCAAAGAACTTCATGTAATGCATGGGATGGGGTGGCACCAACCCTAGTGTACATACTGTATAATATGATTAAAGCATTTTATACCTCCTGATAATCCAAAGTCCAAAGAGGTCTCTGATTCCTTCATGGTGTTGCTGGCAACCACATCAGCCAACGAGCCAGCACATCAATGTGGACTTGTGCCCCGATCGACACGGTTCGACAGCCACCTCATTTGTAAGATTCACTTCGACCGGAATATTATTTGGGTCAACTTAATGTTATAATTAAACAAATAAAGGACAAATTAAGCTGTTCAAATTCTATATACGAAAACTGTTGCAGTAATTGTAGAAATATGGAAAATAATAATATGAAATATGACTTAGAGGTACAATTTGTGTCTTTTTTTTAGGATATTATTTGTCTCCACTCAAATGAGTTTGCTAAAAAATTCTTGGCAAACTACTTTTAGGATACAAGAAAGTTTGGAATCTACAAATAGCAAAATTTGAAGTATTCTCTTAGAACTACTTAGAAAGAAATTATGATTGAGATGGAGAGAAAGAGAGAGTAAAAGAACTGTTTTGTGAACAATTTCTAATTATACAAACTGACGGCAAAAGTTGGATATTTATAGAGAATTAGGCAACCATTCATATTTTAGTTGAAGGTGTGCAATGGTAAACTGATGATATATTGCACCGTATGCAACCAAGAGAGATGATATCCAACCAATTGAGGAGGGTTAGCAACAGTATGCAACCTAGTTGAAAGTGTGCAATGGTAAAATTTGAGTGTTATGGTTGCTTGCACTCCACTATTTAAGAGGAGTGTCAGTAACCTTCACACTCAATTTTTCTTGTTTTATCTTTTCGGTTTTCATTTTCATTTTGCAATGTTGTTTGATGATTAGAGCTGTTTAATTTTTTGGCCACCTTTTAAAGATCAATTCTGCTATAAAATGTTTAACAGTTCAATTAGCATTGTTAAGATTTAAGTGTTTAAGAGAAAAACAACATTCGTTTGTTATTTGAATGAATGTTAAACAACCGATCTCAGATTTAGTTCATCTTTTGCAAAGATGATCTTTTGATGATAACATAAAAATTTGGTGGTTAAATCATTGTGCATTATTGTACGATAAGAATGAGAGTTAGAAAAAGCAAAATAAGAATGTCTGAACATTGCAAAATTAAAAAGCCATGGTGGGTTTGTGGGGCTGCGGCAGCTAATAGAAAAATGGGCTTAACACAAGGGACAGACTTACCAGAAACATAAGTTATTATTATACCTTTTATATAAAAATATATAATTGAAATCTAGTGCAGAAACAAAAGACTGATGCGTATACCTACCTATTGAGAGGATAATTTACATGGCATATGTACACTGCAAAACTTACATATGACTATAATATTGGCAAAATGCACATCAAAGTAGCAGCAAATTGTGTCGAGCTGGATAATACTTTACGGAGTCGATATCAAAATGGAAAATGTATGTGTATACTTACCTATTGAGAGAGGACAATTTACATAGCATATGTACACTGCAAAATTTACATATGACTCCATAATATTGGCAAGAGGCACAGCAAAGTAGCAGCATATTCGTGTAGTAAAGTTTTTCACATTAGAGGGATGGGGAGTTGAATAATAACGCAGTTTACTGGAGTCGATATCAAATGGAAAATGTATGCATGCATGCCATGTAATATTCATGCGACTATATCAAATTTGGACGCCTAGCATATAACAATTCTTTCTGTTTCCATTTGAAATATGTGTTTGGAAGATGGAATTCACCAATCTATTCAAGCAGGACAACTTCAAAAGAAAAAAACAAAGTTTGCATTGATAATGTAGGATTAATATTTGATCTCTCACTCTCCAGCATCCACCGTCCAACTGAGAGAGAGAGAGAGAGAGAGAGAGAGAGAAAGAGAGTTTTCTGCATGATTCATGCACGCAATGGGAATGGACAAAAGTAGGGTTACGGAGCATATTTTATAAGGTAAGCAGAATATGCTCAATGTCCTCATTACATATATCATCAAATGAACCAAAAAATGACTTTAGCCTTGATTCCTTAACTCTTACCATTTAATTTAATATACAGCAAGAGGCACTTGGCCTTAGATTCCCCTCAAGGGACACTTCTCTTGAATCTAACTCTTTCTCAAGTGTGCGTCTAGAACACAGAGTGGTACATTGAATGTAGGTATACAACTGGAGAGACGCTTGATAAAAAGAAGTTTTTCACTTATTATATTAACATGTGGTGTCCCATTTTGTGTTTCCGACACATTAAAAAATCTCTACTCTCTCTGAACTTTTCCTTTGACTTCTCACAACTTCACCTTCCACTTCCAAGCATATAAATTCCATGCCCATCTTGTGGAACTACTTTGAATCCAAAAATAATATACGACCTTGAGCAAAAAAGAAAAAAATAATGCAGATCATGTTGAAGCTTCATAAATTCTGATCAGAAACCCTAGACATTTACACAGATGTGGCCTTCATTATAATATTCTGTCCCGCATCAAACTGCATATACTTCCCAACTGTGAGCTATGAATTATTGTTATGCTTGTTATGTTATTAAAAATATACAAGGCCCCGCATGAACCAACTAGCCTCTTAGTCTAATCTAACCTAACCTAATCTAACCTAATCTAATCCGATCTAATCTATTTCCTAATTCATGTGATGGAATCTTCGACAAGGCAAGATTATGAGGATCAGAATACCCTCCTGATTGGCCCTTCTCCAGAAGGATAAGTTAAGAAAGTGGGGAATATACTAGCACATATCATATTCTATAAATATTTAAAACTAATTAAGTTAAAATTATTGTGCCTAATTGTCCGGAATACGATGGAATATCCGGATGTGGACAACCATAGTGGTGTTACATATTTATTTTGTTTTCTTATATACAAAAAAAAAGGGTTATTATAACAAATGGTCCCTGAGATTTGCATGATCAATATAAATGGTCCTTGAGATTGGCAATCAATAGAAATTGTCCCTTAGATTGTCCACCATCCATGATTTTGGTCCTTCTGTTAAAAACTCTTTGGGCAATTTTCAAAGCTTCGTAACTCAATTGATTCTTAACCAAATTTGATCCATAATATATCAAAATGAAAATAAAAAAGTGTAGAACAAGATTATAACTATTTGGAACCACAATGATTACCGGAGATGGCCGGAAAATAGTCTGAAATGTGACTGGTCCGCGGGAAAACTGGAAAACTCGCCAGAAACTGGGTAAACTTTAAACGTTCATAACTTCTTCAATACTCACCGAAATCGAGTGATTCAAAAATGAAAATCATACTTCTCGACGAGAAAAAGAGAATGTTATCTTTCTTTACTGCTAAGTCAACGTATATTGGCCGAAAAACTGCTCGAAAGTGGCTAACTCGAAAATAGTTAGCCACTTTCGAGCCGTTGTCCGACCAAACCACGGCGAGTTAGCCCTCCTAAAAGATACCATTCTCTTCATATCGTCAAGAAGTATTATTTTCGTTTTTTAATCACTCAATTTGGTTGAGTATTGAAGAAGTTATGAATGTTTAAAGTTTACCCAGTTTTTGGCGAGTTTTCTAGTTTTCCTTCAGACCAGTTACCTTTTAGGCTATTTTTCGGCCATATTCAGCAACCATTGGACTTCTAAATAGGTATAATCTTATTCTACGTTTTTCTATCTTCATTTTGATATATTATGGATCGAATTTGGTTAAGAAACGATTGAGTTACAAACTTTGAAAATTGCCCAAAATCGTTTTTAACTGAATGACCAAAATCATGGATGGTGAACAATCTCTAAGACTATTTCTGTTGATTTTCAATCTCATGAATCATTTCTATTGATTATGAAAATCTCAGAGGCCCAAAAAAAAAAAAAAAAAAAAAACGAATGGCACTGTGATATGTTAAAAAAATTAGCTCCAACCACAACTTGTCGGGTTTTTTGTGTTGACCTAGTGGTACATGCATTCCTAAAGCCACCCCGTATTAATTAGAAAATAATCACCGCCAATGCCAATTTGCCATGCAGGCATTTAATAATTCCAAATCTTGTTTACGATAATCTCTCTTTGTTTTCTATACATAAAATCTTAGAGGTTGCTCAAGATGTTGAAAGTCAATGGTGAACTGTCGTGGTTTCATTGCAGTGGTTTCATCACCAACTGATCTCACTTTTATATAAAAAAAACAATCATGATTTTGAAAGTCTTATGTCTCATATATCGTGGATGTGAACTTCGTGAGTAATTATTTTGTCATTAAGCTATTCTAAATTGGTATTTAGTGCCAAATAATGACCGGTCAAAGTTGATTTTCGTGTCATGATTATCACGCTCAATTTGTAGTTTTGTTTAAAGGTTTGGTGATCTCTACAAACCTGTACAAAGTACAGGACAAATACTAAGGGCTTGATTTTAGAGATTTGCATTATTGTTCATCTTCTTAAGTATTTGCCCAAAAACAAAAAATCTTCTTAAAACACACGTTACAATTTCGCTTCAAATGATCAGTGTGTGTATATATATACACGACGTGTTGATATGCCAGTATTTCACAATAATTTTTCCGTCCAAAAAAGTTACCCAAACCCTAATCCATAAACTCAACTTGATACGTGGTGGATTTATTGGAAAACACTATACATATGTACACACATGTTTTTGATGTACATCCACCAAACTACTTTAAAAATAAAAAAATAAAAAAACTAGCGGGTGGTTTCGCCACGACAATCTACCTTTCGACGGGTCAAAAAGACTAATAGAGATATTTCAGCCTTCTCTAATCACCATCGTATGATTCACCAGTGCTAGAAATTGAAAACAAGATGTACCATGTGGAATACGGATATGAAATTCCATCCATCAAACTATTATATTTTTTCATTATCTTTCTTCTTTGGTGCGAAAGAACAAGGAATAATCGCATGAGGTTTAGTCTCCACGCAACCACATTTTCGATGTTTAATTTGGGGGCAACAATGGCCAAACATAAAAGATTTGAGCAGATCAACATCTGTGAATTTCGACAAAAAAAAAAAAAAAAAAAAAAAAAAAAAAACATCTTTGAATTTGCTTATTTTATTGGGTATTAAGATTTCTCATGGGTCAAATTAATATTTTGTACCCATTTTTATATTTTTTTGGAAGACTTTGAAGTAAAGAAGAATATTATTCCCCTTCCTCTTTGAAGTAAAGTTGTCAATAAAGCTATAACTCCTTCCTCAAGTATATACCTATGAATAGACCAATCCTTTTCACCAAACCTTGTTTAGTGTCTGGCCAGTTGGACAAATTCAGATGAGGAGTACTAGTCACCTATATGATGAAGTAATTATCACGTTAATGATCTGTTTCGCTTGCAAAATGCGTTATTATTACGTAATGAAATCTAACTGTGGCTTCAATTTTTAAGAGCCCATGTAAACAAAATTTGCCGGTAAAGAAAATGATGCTCAGGAGTTTTTAAATCATGTCAAAATAAACTATGTATGTCACCAATATATGTGTGTGTGTGTGTGTGTGTGTATTGTCCTCGCATCCAGATAACTCAAACCGGCCAAAGTCGTACGTATTCGTTAGACTTCCATATTCACTGTCAGCTAAGAAACCTACCATTCAAAAGCCAGGCTACACATATTTGCATAGGCATATACAATAACAACAACAACAAAGTCTTTTTCCCAGTAAGTGGGGTCGGCAATCTACATACACATATAACAAACAATATAACATTATGTTGTGATTGGCGTGATCGAGCCTCTGAATTTTTTTACTTGGTTTGCTTCCAACTTCTGTATATATAGATTTATTCAACTTCAAGAACTTTCACTGTCATTGACCCACATCCAACACCTCTACATCTTCAAACTTCATGAAACAAGTTAAACAACAGGAGGGAAAAACAAAAGGGTAGAAAAAAAACGTCAGAATAATTGGTGTGGTAAATCAGAAACGACTCTACAAGGCTGGTTACAAAAATTTTACACCATTCTCACATTCTAACAAAATCTAAACCACAGGGGAAGCAGGGGTGTGAGTGGAGGATGACGTAGCAGTCGAATTGGAGTGACCGCGGCCTTCGCTGTGGCTGACCCCTTCGTCTGAATGAAAGGGTTTGGGTTGCTTTGGCCGTGGTCTTTGAATTGGTGGTGAGACCTGTGTGACAGCAGGAGGAGTTGAAGCCAAAGGTGCATATATTCCATTGGCTGCCTCCCCGGAAGCAGTGGTTGCTGCCATTGCTGCGTACTCCTGGGGTGGCACCCAAATGCCTCCCACAACCACAAATTGCGGTGCTGGCGCGCTGCTGTTACTGTTGTCGTGCATTGTTGGAGTTGGTCTTCGAGTATGTAAACGATATTTCTGCAAACAACAATAGATGATCGAAATTAGACTTTGACGAATCGGCTAAATGAAAATTCACAATTTGTTAATGATTCTTCAAGACAATGCATGCTTCTTATGTCACTATTTTTTAAGGACATCCACGCCTGCTTGCACATAGAAAGGCACCTAATTAATATTCATCACTAATAGCATGCAAAATGGCTTCCAATTTCTGTCATGTATGTATAAAATTTTATTCACATCAACCAAATTATGATTAAAAACAGATGGATAATCACATATACAAACCTGCAAATGGCTTTTGACTTCATCATTAGTAAGCCCATCAACCTTCATTAACTCTCTAATTTGTTTTGGTGTAGCAGCTGCAAGAAAAAAAAACCAATCACATAACGCATTAAACACACATCCAATACATCCCAATCCAATCATATAAAATAACATATCCCACTAAATTACTCTCAACTGCATACCATGTGAACCACCAAGCTGTTGAAGAGCATGCAAGAACCGACGGTGCAACTCCGGGGACCAGTTTCGCCTTTGTTTCCTCTGACCCTGTCCATCTTTCTCTTCTTTCTTGTTGCTCCCACCACTGCCTCCACTCGCGGTGTCCGTGGTGGAACTAGTAGCCGGAGCCGAATAAGGTTCTTTAGCCACCGGTCCATTTGTCTTTCCAATGCTTTTTTCCCTTTGGAAAGGCTGAAAAGCACCCCCATTTCTCTTCACCTCCATCACTAAAGCCTTTCTAGGCAATTCCTGCAAGTACCCAACACCCAGAAATCAATACTTTCCACTTCTTCACCTCAAATTTTATAAGCAACCAAACAAAAGGGCAGTCACAAAATTTACTAAAATTGATGAAGGTGGAGTCTTTTTTTATACCTCTTTGAGTGGTGCATCTGGGGTTGTATTCCAAAGCTGTACAGATCTAAGCCAGTCTGGTTTTTTCCCATCATCTCCGGTAATCTTATCATCCTTCTCATTGTCCTTAGCCTCCTGAGACTCTCGAACTTCATCCTCATCACTATCTGAAGATGAAATCCGTTTTAATGGAATGAATTCCTCAAAAACATGCCCCTCACTTGAAGTCTGCTCAGAACACTCAGATTGTCCATGCAGGTAATCTGCGGTTGTATCTGAAATCTGCTGCTTGCCCCTCTCAATAGCTACAACAACAAAAAAACCCCAATTCAGAAAACAAAAACCAGAACAATTCAAGCAAAAAAAACGAAATTTCCCACTCAGAACACAAAAATTAAGCTGAAATTTGAAAAGGGTCTGTGTTCTCCGTAGTACCTTGGGTGACAAGCTCCAAGCAGAGAGGGAGCTCCCTCTGAAAAACTTGAATCTTATGCCTCTCCTCCTCCAAAGCCTTGACATACTCACGGAAACCCAACTTTGCAGAAGCCTGCATTTCCTCTGTGCACTCCATAGCTGGAAAGCTTTTGGCTTCCTATTTCTTTTTCCTTTTATCTTTTGGGGTTCTGGGTTTTCCAGATCCTCTGTCCTTATCTTGGTTTTTGGGTGGAATCAGAAATGGGGGGGGTGAGAATGTAGGATGGGTGGGATTATAAGGGAGCAGGTGGGTGTGCTGTGGGTGTCCAGAGCATAGATAGAAACGAACGAGGAGAATGGGGCGAGTTGAAAGCTTCTTCTCAAAGACGCATATGGGATCTAAGCAGAATCAGAAAACGGAATAATCTTTGCACACCAAAACCCAACAAAAACAAATAATTTATTTAAAAGAAAACAACAAAATCGAGTTTCTTTCTGGAGAGATAAAATTAGAATTAAAAACCCAAAAAAAGGAAGAAAAAAGATTGAATTTTTAAGGGTTTTCAGAGAAAGAAAGAGAGCGGTCGAGGTCGTGGCGTCGCGTACAAACAAGAATCTGTGGTTTCGGGGATTTTTATTTCCTAAATAGTTTTGTTTGGAAGGAAAGTCGGGGGTTGAATATTCCATGGTATATGTGTTCTGATTCTCTTTTCTTTATCCTATAGGTAGGCGATGATGTCACCACCTCTCACACGGGCCTAAAGGATTATTGTTGCCGGTGGTGATAAGATAGTCGAAAGATAACTCATATAGTTAAAAAATTAGAATTTAAGCCCTTGAAGAGAGTTAAGATTTAAGTTCAAAATTGAAAAATTCCATCTACTCTTTTAATTGTTAGCTCGTGAGTCATAAATATGAAGCTAAAACAGAACTCTCCGTTAATTGTTAGTAAGTGAAGTTTATATGTGAGGCTAACATTATCTTTTTAGCCTCACATGTGAGGCGCATGTGCTAATAACTAATGAATAGTTACAAAATCTTTAATTTTAGACATAAATCTTAACAGACTTTAGCACTCTACATGGGCTATCTTCTGACTACTTTATTACTACAAAGACTATTAATCCAATCAAACCTTTTTTATTTTGTCTTATTTAAATTTTCAAATTTAGAAATACATGACTACTTGTCTAGCGAGACCAACACTCGCAGTTTGATCTGAAAAAATATTGTTGTCAACTTACACGCTTGTGACGATGAATTGGTTTAGGGATCATCTCACCACTACCAAAGTTCATACCAAAATGTCAATAAAGAATTTGAGACTACTGTGGAACTTACGTCATTCCAACAATAAAATTAAATTTGAGTTTTGAGTGTTGAGTTTCCAATTCACACATACAAACCATCAAATTCGAACGTAATATTCCTCAATGTCCTTGTTGTGGGTGCATTAGAAGTATATTCGTCAATATCCTTTTTGGATAAGAACAAAAGAAAATTCAAGCAATTTATTTTAATTTTGTCTATATCTAATTTTATTTTTGGACTATTGGCATTGTACTGTTTTATCCGCTTGGTAATTGATGAATATTCTAGATATTTATCTGGGTATAGAACTTGGTTGCTAAAAAAATTAGTAGCAACTTTTGTTGATGATCAATCACAGATGAATAAGTGTTCAAATTATGATTAAAAAATCAACAATTTGAATATTTGTCCAACTGTGATTGGTCATCAGCAGTAGCTGCCGTTGATTTTTCCATGCAAGTCCCATTCTATATTTGGGAATATATTTTCTCGCTCTTCCGAATGTAACCCGGGCTTTTGCGATACCAAAGGGAATCTTCAAATTCGTGACGTGAGGGAGAGGGAGAGCGTGCTTTCACAAGCGTTCCCACGACGCGTGTGATTAGCGTCAAAGGATGTGGCCTTTCACGTCCTCTGAGGGCCAACTGCTTCCCATCCTCATCCGCACCGCCCTCTGTTTACGCTAGGTTTCATCAATACTGCCTTCACGCGCTTCTGTCAGGGCGTGCCAGCTGCGGGACCAATGGTATTTTGACACGTTCGGATTCTGTTCAGACGGATCGAGATTCTGGATGGGCGGCGGGGATTCCAGGGCTGCGTTCAGATTCTACAGACGGCTTAATATTGCTTGGGCTGGGATAAAAATAGCTCCTCACAAATAGGCCCAATATACTTGGACCAATGAATAAATAAATGTAGCAATAGTTCCTTGGTTACTGCTTGAGGTGTACTTTTTGTCACTTTGTTTTAATTTTTTATAATTGTTTAGTGACGAATTAGGCAGGATTACTACTATGGTTATCAGAAACTAAAATCGAATATTACTACTCGTCAACTTCGTCAAATTTTTTTGTCAAAATAACGAAAAATGAAAAACCTTGAATAAAAATTGCTTAGCGGCTTAGTCCAATTGACACGGCTCTCTAATCCTGACATAAACACTTCAGTGAGTAATTTTTCTCTCTAAACTTTGATTCTTGAAGTGTTTACTTACTTAAAACAGGAGGAACCCTAAACTAAGGAAGGAAAAGAAGTAATGGGTATGATCTATATTTCCTAGTATTTCAGGTATGGGATTACGGATTTTTCTAGAGAACCCTCACTTTGTTTAATTGGTATGTCATATTACACGCAGGCAATGTTAGTAACTCAAATAAATTCAATTCCCATTTTTTAATTAACTCATGAAGTCAAGAACTAATATAATGCAATATCCAATCTTTAACTAAACTTGCCATAACATTAAAGTTGCAAGAAGTGATGCATAAAATCTTAAATCAAATCAGCAAAAGATAAAAAGGTGACAACTTTTTATTTCCATCACTTTGTTGGAAAACATCGGGCTTAAGCTTTTATTGTGGGCAACACGTTTACAAATGGAACCCCAAAAAAGGGCTGCCCAAATATAAAAGAATCTCATCAACCCAAAATTAACATAACATGTGTTGTAAACATCTCCAAATTTATAAACATTGATTCAAATTTGAGTTTGGGTTAAGGGTCAAGTTTGTCTATTGGTTTAAATCAATAACTTGGGTCTTAGCTTTTGAAATGACCTTAGTTGTGAAAGTTTTACTATAAAGTTATAAACATTGAAATTAAGTTTGATATAAACTTGCAATTGACTTGTAGCTCAAGTCGTTAAATGCATCAATCTCGTATTCAATTTCCACTGCCCTATATCGCTTGTATTAAGAGCATCTCCCAGGGACTAAACAATTGTTTTGAGGTATAATTGAACCTTGTTGGCTGCTGTGACATTTTGCCCAGTTCATTTGCCTAAAATGTCTACCTCTTAAAAAGAAAACGCAAAATAGATAAGACAATTCTTAATCTATTTTGACTCATGAAACTCCCCTAGGTAGTTTTGCCTAGGCGTTTGCCTAGTCCCTTGAAGTCACGTTTTACTCATGTGGGTAGTGCTTTGGAGATGCTCTTATCTGTTTTCACACGCTCAAAACAAGAATTTACTGATCAGAAATTTCAAATTTAAACATACATAGTAACGCATAGATATCCACGTGTGCGGTGAGTCAAAAATCAAATCTTGACTACTGAAAGGATGGAGCTTGGACTGGACTTGAACAGTAGTTACTAATAGAGGGAGGGAGAGAAAGAGGGGAGCGTGGGAGCTCATCAATCAGCTGGGACCTGTGACAAATCAATGGGGGCGGCTATGAAGTCTGATGAGATAGGCACTGTTGGCTTTTCCCAGTTTCCTTTTTCAGACAAGACGAAGGTTTTGGAAATTTATACTTTGTCTTTCCTGCGTTCCTAGTCTCGCATACACATATTTTGCAAAGCAATGCGATGCGTGACCAACACCTTTGTCTTTTTAACTCCTTGGCATATGTCATTCAACAACCATCGTTCCCAGGGACTGCATCCACTACTATAAGATTTAATACTACATGGACTAGAGACAATGATGCCTCTAAAATTACTGTTTATATGAGAGAATCTCTCCGTGAATTAGGATATATAGATCATTCATGACTTATATATTAATTGGAGGAAAATGTTGTTTTGCCTTATATTTATTTGAATATTTGGTTCATCTTAATAGGCAATTGAATGATATATTATGGTGCTAATTCACCATAATAACTGTCTTTCTAAACTAAGAAATTGTAAGAGACTTATAACTAAAATGGTTAAGAGCATTTAACTCTGAACTTGAAGTGGTGTATTTAAAACTACGATTCCATTTGTATTATTGAAAGGAAAATGGGTATCTATAAGAATGTACTTGCAATAGCATATTATAGGCTTAATAGGTAGTCAAAATCCATTTTGTACTAATCTTGTTAAATCACAAGGCAAAACGGCAAAGATTAAAGGTGGTACAGGAAGTTTCTGTAATTCGAATCGAACCCACATGCAGGCACTTACCTTTGTCTCAGAGAAGTATCTGATGAGCCATCAATTAATCACCAAAACAAAGTTCATGTTCAAAAGTAGCACCATGCATATAATAATAGTGATCTATATATTTAGCTTGGATTCCTACGCTTAGCAAGTTACGCTTCTCTCTCTCTCTCTGTGCTTGCCTAGCCATGCATGCATGCATGTTTTCGAGCACATTACTTTTGTCAATTGATTAGTCATCTCAGGATCATGGATCCAGTGCTAGTGGGTTTCTTAATCCTGATAAGAAATTAAAGGTGGAGCTATAGGGAAACCTAGTACTTCTTTTACCGGTCCTTTTTTGCCAGTCCTTTGCCGTGGGGTTATGTGAACGGGAAGGATCGATCATGGAGCTTCGGGAAGTAGCACGACGATGGATTTGTTTTTTACTATCCGTTCTGTGTTTTTATCTTTTTTCTTGTCAATTTCTATCATGTCTGAAGATTGATGGGATGGTTTGAATTACTATCCATCTAAACTTCCTGTTTTGGGCGGTATACAATCAAACTATGTTACTGCTGCTGCACCAATATTGTTCTGGTTGGCCCCTTCATTGTTTGTATAAAAAATTGATACGTATATGGTACATTAACATATAAGGTCAGTTCGTAATTACTGTGTTTTTAGTTTTGAATTTTTGTTCTACGAGATAAAAGGAAAGTATATGAGAAAATAGAGTGATGGGAAAGAATAATGGGAGATGGTGGGAAAGAAAGGGACAAATGTAGAAACTATATAAATATATATATGCTGAAATTGAAAATATCTTAAAATTGTTTTTTAGTTTTTTATTTTATTTTCATGTCGTACACCATTTTATTCCTCATTCTTTCCACATGTTTTTTATAAATAAAAATAAAATCCTACAGCACAAAAATAAAACACTACAAACTAAGAACGAAATGCTTATTATATCCGTGTGCCTTAAATAATTTGGACTGAAAATAAATGGGGTCTTGGCAATAGTGAACATAGCTTTTTTTAAAGTAGCTAGCATGTTGGAATGAGAAACAAACTGTTGACACACTGAGTTTGGAGATGCCAAGACAAAAGAATTGTCTCATATATCTTCACTTTCTGTTGAACATTGAGATTTTGCACATATATGTACCACGATGGCACTTGTGCATGGATATTGTCTGAGATTCTAATTGAAAAAAGTATATAAACATAGTAACCAGTAG